AAGAGAGTGTAAGCTATGAATAAACCAATGCGGCTAAATGAGACTTTTAAAGAAATAAAACCCCCAGCATGCACTACTGCTCTGAAAGCTGGAGATGTTTGTGGCCGTGAAAGGATATTTACAGTCTGCCAGACTCCTAGAGTAGCGGAAAATGTGAAAAGACCTGCAAGGTCGCCTCAGACACCAAATACCTCATATCTATTGCTGTTTATTTTTAATATGGGATGTTAAATGTCTCCCTCTTTGATTAGATACTGGTAATTTTTTTGCATTTCGATACCTGACGACAGTTTCACTCGCTGACCCTGCTAACTTTTAGTCATCTCGGTTTGATGAAACTGCAATTATTTGATGATTTTGAACTGTGTTAGGCAAATATCGTATTTTTCAACTCGTCCCCATTTTTTTTAGCGGTGACTTTTCAAATCCGTTAATAATAACCCCCTACCTAAATGTCAGTTTTGGGGGGTTACGTGATTATGAGTGTTGGCTCTATTTGTGTCTGTGCATGATTAGATTAATACTCATTAGAGACTATCTGTATCAGCCTCATTCCTGTCCCCTCAGGTGCTAAGCAACTGCATCCTTGGCAATTAAAAACAGGAAGCTGTCATCCTCGATCACGGTGGCATTGTGCTGGCCCCCCGAGACGTTCACTGATATCATTTTTAGCCTTCTATCTTCACTTCTTCTCCACTTCTTCTGTACCAAATGAGCGCACACACGCACAAGCGCTAAATGCTTTGTTGCTAATTTGAAGAAGGTTTATCTTTCAGAAAACGCATCATTATAACTCATCAGACTTATCATCATTAATTACCCGCCAGATTCATTGCCCTAAATTTGTTACATCCATTGTAGTCTTTGTGTTTTTTTCCCGGCTTAATAGAAGAAGCTTGCTGGTCTCCCAATCTGGTCAGACGGATCTGATTTGATGGTTTTTGGTTGGAGTACTTTTTAGTTTGTCAGACTGGAAGATCTGCTCAAATCAGCCAATTAGGCTGTTTTTAAGCCGTTTGTGTGTGTGTGTGTGTGTGTGTGTGTGTGCGTCAATGTCTCAAATGAGTATCTTAAATCAGCCTGAGTTGGTTTCTTGGTCTCCCAGCCAGTCCATACTATTATTAATATTTATTTTGTTCTATACATTTTAGTTTTATTAGTGCTTTTGTCATTTTTAAACATTTCTGTATAACTTTAATTCATCTTTTCTATTTCTGTTTTAGTTCTATTTTTTTGAAAGTATTGAAACTTAATGAAACTTTTTTTCTTTAGTTTTTGCCTGGTAAAATTAAAACTAAACTTTATTTTTAGTTTTTTTTATTTTCGTTTTAGTTTATTAATTTTAGGCCTACATAATTTTAGGCCTACTTGAATTTTTCGTTTCGAAAATTTCGTTTATTAATTGATGTACTTAAACTTCAACTTTTTTTTTAATTTTATTTCAATTACCCATAGTTTTTTAGTTTAGTTTTATTTAATTTAAAAAAATTATTAATAATTTTTCAGTTTTTGCAAGGGAATTTTTATTTCAACGAATGAGTACTTCAGTACTTTTTTCAGTTTTCAGCCATGGTAACATTTCAAAATTTCAGTTTTTCATCTAATATATTTTGTTTTCTTTCAGCTTTATTTCAATGATGGAAATTAGGTTTAGTGGACACTTTTCCTCTGGTCAGGCTTTAATCAACTGAAACCCAAGCTTGGTCAGGGTGGAAGACCAACTTAACAACTTATGCTTTCTTAAGCATTTTTTTTTCAGCAGTGTTACATGGGTGCATGGGACACAAGCTGTATCTAGAGAAAACAACCACCCAGCCACACATTTGCAACCACATAGAATGCCATAGCAACCACATAGCAACATGCTAAAAACCCTTAACTGTAATGTAACGCCCTATGAACCACCCACAACCAGCACTGATTTGATGAGTTTTGTGTGGGAAATATTCTTCTAGAAATGTAAAATTCTAGTTATATACCCACATTCAGAATGAATTAATGAACATGGTGAGAGAGAGAGAGAGAGAGAGATAGAGAGAGAGAAAATCAATAATTAGGCTCAGCTATGCACTGCACAAACTTCCATCATTATAATTGAGCTATATCAAGATGCATTTTGAAACATTTTGGTGCTCTTTTGGTCGCCCATTAGCCATTGGGAGATATGAAGATGAAAGGCAAATAAAATGAAAAAGCCCTTTTCCACAAACTTAAGAGAGCCTCTTACAAAGGAGACAAAAGTTTTTCTCTCTTCAGAGGAAACTTTAATTGCGTGTGTCGTGGGCCCTTACTCGCTCGACTCGGAGGAAACACTACTGTGATCTGTCCTTAAAATAGCTCCTCAGATGTTTGTCACCCAATGGCTGGCAGGTTGTTGTCTTGGATCTTCTCATTGGTTGAGTCTCTCTGTTTCTTAATTAACAGAGGTGTGAGCTGCCCCCCCCCCCCCAGAGTTTCTAGTGTTTATGCTCCCTTCGCTCTCCCTTTATCTACCTCCACCTCGTTTGAAAGCTGTGGAGACACACACACACACACACACACAGAATAGTGACGCATGGCCTCAGATCTCAGTGGTGAGGTGGAGGGTTGCAGTCTGTTCCTCCTGCCATGGCTTACACAAAACAAACGAAGTGCGTCACGATTAGGCCGGGCTCCATGGTCACTGTCAAAGGTGTCATGTCGATTTTTTTTTTCCTTCCTTTTTTTTTAGCGCCTCATTCCCTGTCTCCCCATCCTTCCCTGCTGCTATGTGTCACTTCTCTGCGCCTTCTGTCACATGGCTATAGAGCTGAGGATGCCACACAGGCTGTACGTTCACACGGCTCCCATTAAGTTTCCATTAACGGGACCTGTTCGCCCACATCCCCCCATCGACCAGCTAAGCCCGAAAACACATCCCGCAGGCTTTTAGCATAAACGCTTACTGAATTGAGACCTAAATGCATGGATTGTTTGTATGTGTGTTTTCAAACCCATGATGCACCACATGACCGCCATGTGTGTATACACTACCACTCAAATACTTTTGACAAAGACATTGATAAAGACTTTTACATTGATATGAAAAATTATATTTCGTTCAGATAGTTCTTGTAAACGTTCTGTTCATCAGACAATCCTGAAAGATCATGCATCACGGTTTCCATGAAAATAATAAGCAGCACAACATCAACATTGATAAGAAATGTTTCTTGAGCTGCAAATCAGCATATTAGAAAGATGTCTGGATCATGTGACACCGAAGCTTGCTAAAAATTCAGCTTTGCCATCACAGGAATAAATTACATTTTAAAATAAATTGAAATACAGTTATTTTATTGATTTGTATTTTATTTTCTAATGTAATAATAGTGCAATATTACTGTTTTACTGTGTTTATGATGCAATAAATGCAGCCTTGGTGAGCATAGAGACAAAAACATTAAAAAAATCTTACCAACCCTAAACATTTAAAAGGTAGTGTGTCTGCATACAAATCTGCATTTATGATAACAGTTATATTATTTTATTTATATACTATAACATTACAGAATATGTTTAAATAGTCTTACAAATGGAGAAATATGTTTTAAATCACAAATCTGATCAACTGTGAGCTAAAAAATGTTTTATCAATATGATGCAAATGAGAAAACTAATTGGTATCAGTATAATAAATAAATAAATGCACACACTGAATATTCATGGTGACACTGTTCATGTGCTATCAGTGCAAAGTTTCTTATTAGCATCTTAGAAGTAGTTCTGTAAGTAAAAAAAAAAAAAAAAAAAAAAAAAAAAAACATGTTCTCACATGCACACATTTCAAACCAATCTCATTCTAACAACTCTCATGTTCCTGTTCAAAATTAGCTCACTCCTTTTTCCAATCCTGTCAGGCAAACTTTATTAGAAAAAGCTGTGTCTTTCATTCCTCTCTTAGCTTCTGTAGCAACGCCTGCTTTCAAATCCATCTTTCCTTCCTTCTGCCAAACTCTAGAATATAACGGTTTGTCCTCTGGGTGGTTCCTCCGGGCTCTCTCACTCTCTGTTTGTGTGAATTACTCAATATTCTAACTGGAAGAGAAGACAAATGTGTAAATGGAGCCATTAGCTGTAGTATTTTCTTTTTTTAAACAACATTATTACACCCCAAACTCTGATGTATCCCACAATCCACCACTAGAGACTGCTGGAGACCCCTATTGAACACAGGGGTCTTGTGTTACATGCAGACACTTTAGAGGTTGCTAAAACCATCTACTGGAAGCAAGCTTGAAAAGAAGTGAGAATAACAGAAATGCATTTTTTGTTTTTTCTTTGTTTGTTTTGCTTTGCTTTAGTTTTTTTTATATGTGTCCTCAACATGGCACACAGAGAAGACTTTAGCCTAAAGTCCCAGACTAAAACGCATGTTTGAGTGGTCTTAGCTGAAAGCAACTTGCACTGACATATCTTGAAGTATGTCAGTGGCATTATTTTGAGGATGCACACCAGTGATGCTGCATGTTTGGTAACACTTTATTTTAAGGTACTTGTAATAAGCAGTAATTAACTGTTAATAAGACACTTATAAGATGCATGTAAGCATATAAGCATTAACTACTTCATATAAGGGTTAATTAAAGCACAAGAGCACAAAGCGTCCTCAGAAGTTATATGAATGCTTATATGCATCTTATATGCATCTTATAAGGTCTTATAAGTGTCTTATTAACTGTTAATTACTGCTTATTACAAGCACCTTAAAATAAAGTGTTACCGTTTTAGCATATGTCGTATACATTAAAGCCAACTAGCACAACAGTCCAATTTTTGATTTCATTGGGTGTTTAACCTTTTGGAAATGTGAGCCCTGTTACATCTTCAGAGAGAAAAAGAATAATAATAGAATAATGTCACTAACATACTATTCACTAACACTGCAAATACATATTTTTTTTCACAATTTTCTTTTTAAAAATGTTTCAAGTTTCCTTGAACTGGTGGCTTCATCCTTTTTTGTATTGTTTCCTAAACAGCATCCAGTGCCTTCTTGCCCTGAGCCAGAAATGTGCTCCCACAAATGTGTGTACATCATCTCTGAACGGAGGGTAAATAAGGTTGACTCATCAGGTGAGAGATAAACACAAAGTAACATGTTCTGACACCAAGTCCCCCCCCCCAGGTTTAAGTGTGAAGGTATCTTCAAAGGTAAACACGCTCCGATGGTCTTTAAGGGCATTTGCAGATAGCAGCACTAAGCTGAAGCAATGCCAACGCTTCCTTTGAGAGTGAATTAGTTGAAAGCCACAAGAGCAAGCATGTCAGGGGCCTCTATTTTTGGTCGAAAGCTCAGGGTTAATGCTGATTCATGTTATTAAATGGTCCAATCGTCTCCTAGCATAACGCTATGGGCCTTACATGCTTTATTTTAAAGTAAAACCACACTGGGACTCTGTTCACATGATGGCATGATTGAAAACAACTGGCAAAGAAATATATATCGTATTAATCTGCTTTTGTATTCTGTTGTAGGAAATATCACAAGACAAATGGGAAATGTTCTCTATTTTTAGAGGCTTTAATGCTAATCCACATACATCTAACATGCAATCATATCTCCACAGATAATTGGACTCATAAAATCCTATAACGTTTCACCGTAACATTTTAAAGCCCGTAAAAGTGACGACAATGTCACATTTGCATATCCTAAGACCCAGTGTTTTACCCCCCTTGCTTTAAAGGGAATTTCTTCCCCAAAAATAAAAAAAATAGCTGGTGTCCAAACAAAGAATCCTCATGTGTTATTAATAAAAGGGGACTATTAAAAGGCTTGTTTTTTTCACTCTCCATTCTCTCTTTATTCCCTACCCTCCCTGCTTCTCTTTTTCTCCCCTCCATTTGAAAGACTGCCAAGCTCTGTTTGCCTTGATAATTAGGACCCAAAGCGTGCAATCGCAAGTCCATTATAAAAACAGCCAACGCCTGGGTGGTTTATTGATAAGGCATTACGTGTGTGGAGGTGTGGAAATGTACACAGGGCTGGTGGCACATCAGATAGATTCTACTGCACCTTAAAAAAAGAGGCCTTTATCCAGATTAAATGCCATTATGGTCCAACATTGTAATTCGCCAGCTTTGATGACAAGGAAGCAAAAACATATTAATGTAAAAGGGGATGGCAGAACAGCTGTTCAGTAAGAGAGTGTGTGCACTGCAGTAGCTAGTGGCTACAGTGATACTGTATGTCAATGAAGCGTTTCTTGTGCACCAACAAAACTTCTCGGTCAAACATAAATTTGATTTTACATTTACACATACATAATTTGTTTAATTTTTTAATAAATAAATAGTTTTTAACATTTTACAGCAATGTTACAGTTTTCCTGCCTGCATTAAAAGTGAACATGTTACTTCTTTCTATAGATCTGCTTACTCTCTAAAAGAAGCATTTTTATAATTTAAAACGATTTAAATAATTAAATTAATTACTGAAACATTTCCTGAATTTCATGTGCATAATGTATACATTCCAGTATAACTTTTGTGATACAAAATAAATACTAAAAAATATATATACGACGAATGAATGGGCTCTCTAAGCAAAAAATACATGACCGCTTCAGCTTTGGCTTGACCGAGTCCCGAGTTGGGCATTCCCCCCGTGGCGAACCTCAGTTTTCTATGGGCCGGAGTGCCCCTGCAATGAGCTTCCCGGCATGTTGTTGTAATGACAGATGCCTCTGCCACGGGCTGGGGTGCCATGTGCGCCTATGGCACATCAATAGACTCGAGTTGCTGGCTGTACGTCTCGCTCTGCGCCGCTTCCGAGCCATACTCAAGAACCAGCACATACTAGTCTGATCAGACAATTCCGCAACTGTAGCGTACATCAACCGTCAAGGTGGTCTGCACTCCCGCCATATGTCGCAACTCGCCCGCCACCTCCTCATATGGAGTAAGAAGCATCTGAGGTCCCTTCATGTCATTTAAATCCCCAGGGACCTGAACCATGCAGCCGGCAAGCTCTCACAGCTTCAGCCCCTCCCTGAAAAATGGCGACTACATCCCCAGTCGGTTCAGTTGATTTGGGACTAGTTCGGGGACGCACAGATAGATCTGTTTGCCTCGTGCGGCTCCTGGACGGGACAAGGCAGGTTTAAGTACCCTACCACCAGCGGCGGTGGCTACCATCACTTCCGCTAGAGCGTCGTTCCACGAGACACGTATTGCTTTAAAATTGAACCTCTTCGTCAACTGGTGCTCTTCTTACCAAGAAGACCCCTGGAGGTGTTTGATCAATGTCATGCCTTCCTTCCTTCAAGATGGGTTGGAGCAAAGGCTGTCTCCCTCCACCCTCAAGGTCTGTTTCGGCGCTATTGCCGTACACCATGACCCTATGGAAGGTAAGTCTGTGGGAAAGCACGACCTGATTGTCAGGTTCCTGAGAGGTTCCCTCCTCTTGTTCCCTCTTGGGACCTCTCAGTGGTGCTAACTGCCCTGCAGAGTGCTCCCTTTGAGCCTTTGCAAGAAGTGGAGCATAAGTTCCTGTCAATAAAGACAGCGCTTCTGGTTGCATTGGCCTGCATTAAGAGGGTAGGGGACCTGCCCTCTCTGTTGACGAAGCGTGCCTGGAATTCAGGCCAGCCTACTCTCACTTGATCCTGAGACCCCGGCCTGGATATGTGCCCAAGGTTCCTGCCACTGCCTTCCGAGACCAGGTAGTGAACCTGCTAACGTTGCCCCTGGAGGAGGCAGACCCAGCCTTGGCACTGCTCTATCCAGTACTTGCCCTCCGCACCTATGTAGACAGAACGCAGTGTTTCAGGACCTCAGACCAGCTCTTTGTCTGTTATGGTGGAAAGCTGAAGGGAAAGGCTCTCTCCAAGCAAAGGCTGTCCCACTGGATAGTGGACGCCATTGCTTTGGCATACCAAAAGCAAGGTCATCCGTGCCCCCTTGGTGTGACTGCCCACTCCAGCTAACAGACATCTGCAGAGCTGCAGGCTGGGCGACACCACAATCTCGCTAGATTCTATAATCTCTGAGTGGAGCCTGTTTCCTCTCATGTACTTGCTTCAACCAGCTTGTACCGGACCCACTCAGGTGTCTTCACTTGCTCGCCATCCCACTCTACGGTGATAATTCCTCAGGTGAGCTTCCCCGAAAGCCCTGAGTTCCTCCTGCACTTCTGACGTCAGCGCCAGTGTCTATTGCCTGCATGTTGGCTAGGTGCCTCCCGCATGTTGGCTAGGTGCATGGTCCCTCCCCTGAGCGACCCCCACATGTGTATTTCCACTGTAAGCCTCTCTGAGCATGTGTCTTTCCATCAGCAAGCCACCTTGCCTCCCCTGGGGTTGAAATATTCCACCTGCGGCTGGATACCCCAGTGTTTGCCCATATCTGGGTCATGTGTAGTACATAAGTCCCCCGTCCAACTCTGGGTTGGCAATAATTGCATATTTCCTCTAAACTATGGGATATGCTCCCCAGTGTACCTTGGTATTCCTGCGCTAAATAGGAGTCCTTCGTCAGTGCCGGTCTCACGACAGGGATCACCTTAAATAGTTTTTTTTTTTGTTATTTTAGTTACTTCAGCTTATTTTATTTCAATTTGCTAATCAAACATACCCTTGTTTATTTGTGTGCCTGGTTGATTCCTGTTTATGTTCAAGTTATATAAGTTCTGCGCATGGATCCGACCATCTCTGTCTATACTGTACGTTACACATGTATAATTTTCGTATGATTTAATTCAAGCTTTGTAACATTTTACAAGTTTTTTTAGTTAACGTTTTTTATTTACTTTAGTTAACTTGAATTAGGAATAAACTGCATTTCTACAGTATTGTTTTTTTATTATGTATTAGTTGTAGAGTTTTCAGCATTTACTAATTATTAAAATTAGTAAATTCAAAAGTTATTATTAAAATCAAAACTTGTATTTATTAGCATTGGTTAATGCACTGTGAACTAACATGAACAAACAATGAACGGCAGTACCCGTTCTAAACAACGCTAAAGCGACACCTATGTTGTGAGACTGCATGGTGACTTGGACATGTTGGATCAACACACCAACAGTGAGAGAGAGTGTGAGAATGATATAAAGACAGCGAGAGATGGGTAGAGAGAGGGAGAGAGTAATTGTTTGGAGACAGGGGGCTGTAGCAGGGTTTTAATATGTTTGCTGTCTCCCAGTTCCAATTGGGCCCCTCAGGACGTTGTGATATTTAAAAGTGACATGTCTGACCCTGCACATTTGCGATGTGTCATCATGCATCAAGCGTAGAGGTGTGGATTAAAGCTCTCTCTAATGTTGTGTGCATTGGGATTTATATTTCCAATTAAGTCTGCAAATTATATGATCATCTCGAGCCATGTGCAAGGGCCATTTTGGAAATGGGTGGCGATGGTCTCCCACCACCCCCCTCCCCTTACTAATGGTAATGTTGGAAATGCGATCCACTTTGTGGCTGGAATATTAATCTGCTTTGCAACTGTCCAATTACATTGTGCATTTTCACATTGTGACTCTAAGGGAATTGTCTAGCAAAATACATACAACTCAGCTATAGCATGCAGATCATTATGTTCATCATAAAGTGCAGTGCAGGGTGACCAAGTTGTAGTGGATATTGGGGTTATAGAAGGTCTTGCATGTAAATATCTCACAAGGACGTCCCTTTGCGGATGCTGTGGACTAAATAGACCTGGGTCTAAACTGAAAATTCCAATAATCCTAACACAATAAAAAGAAAAAGTTGTTGCCTTAAAATTTTTAAGTACAATCAACTAGGATGTTTGTCATTTCAACTTAAATTTGAATCTTGTATAACTTAATGTAATAATAAATTAGTAGGGGTGTGACGAGACGCTTATCTCATGAAACGAGACGAGACACAAGATTGAGTTTTGCAAAATTTTTCAGAAATCCCCAATGACAAAATAATCGTCTAATGCATGTCATTTCAGGTCTACTGTATGAGTATGAATTATCAAATGCATTGAAAGAAAACAATATACAAGCACTGTAAAAGGTTTTTATTGACTGGCTTTTCTCCTGTTTGATTTCACACGAGTCTCTTCAGACCTTAAGAGCTTCCAGAACTTCTGATTGAGGCTGTTTG